TACCTCAGCAACATCTTGAATTAAGTTACAACCCAAGTTTTCTATGATATCCTTCACGAATGACATTTTAAACAGATGTCCCTCTGGCAAGGAATTCTGACTTTCAGAATTTCATTCAAGATAAGTAGTATTTTTGAGCGAATTAAGTAAAATCAGAGAATTTTTGCTTCTGATTCTTTAAGCATCATCTCTCTTTGCTTATTAGTTAAAAAATTAAAAGAAAAGCATAGGGTTTTCTGGGCACCTTGACCTTAGTAGACACTGTATAAATGTAATAATGCTAGCAGTTGTTCAGGTGATGGAAAAAAACTATCTGGAGTCTAAGTGAAGATGCTAAAATAATCTAATTCTGGCTGGGCTGTTATGGTGCACACCTTTAATCCCAGCACTTGGGAGGCAGAGGCAGGTGGATCTCTGTGACTTCGAGGCCAGCCTGGTCTACAGAGCTAGTTCTAGGACAGCTAGGGCTGTTACACAGAGAAACCCTGTCTTGGAAAGAAAGAAAAAAAAGATAATCTAATTCTGGCAGAAAACCACCTGAGGACGTGGTCTTGTCTCCTTTCATTTATTCTGCTTCTGCAAAGGGTCTGGGTTTGTTTTTTTTTTTCAAAGTGCTTTAACAGGATATCCCAGTTAAAGTTTTGACAGACTGTTTATAGTTCACTTCTGCCCAGGGGCAATGGAAGATGCATTACAGGATAAGCAAGGTGCCTCTTGGGTAGGATTATTAACATTGAAATGACTTCAGACAGGCTGATGTCTGCCGGAAGACCAAGGGTTAGTAACAGAGCAAGAATTCATGAGAGAGGTCTGCAGTGCCTACTGACTTCCTTAAAGCAAATGAAACAAAAATTTAGGGGGTGAAAACAAGAACACACAGACTTGGGCGACAGTATTAAAAAATAATCCTTAACACTAAGACACCTAATCCTTTGTCAGAGCTCTTCTGCTTGAAGGGTTGCTGTAGGGCCCTGAGTTCAAGATCCTAAGACAGGGGAAGCTCTTCTTTTTCTGTATATGTATATATATGTATATATATATATACGTATATATATGTATATATATATGCATTCATGTTCATTTGTGTGTCTGTGTGTGCGTGCATTCATGCATGTGTGTATTTGGGAGAAGCACACGTGTGTATGCGACAGCTGGAGGTCAACCTCAGGTGCTGTCCACCTTATCCCTTACCTTTTTTTTTCTGAGACCTTGGCCTGGAACTCATCAAATCGTCCAGTGAGCTAATCTGACTGACTGGTGAACTCCAGGGAGCCACCTGCCTTTGCCTTCTTAGTGCTAGGGCATTAAGTGCACACTACCATGCCCTGCTTTTTATTTTTTTTTCCCGCACTCCTGCCTATCAAACTTGGGCTCTTCCTGATCACAAAGCAAATACTTTCCCCACCTGGCTCTCACCCTGGCCTGAAGAATTCTCTTCCTTTTAACCACAGAGTCCACCTATCTGATCTTCCTTCCCTTTCCCGCCATTGGCACCTGTCTGTCCTCAATAGCTTATTACATTCCCTGTGGGGTGGGCCTGCTGTGTGCTCTCCTAGTACAGAGGGAGCTGCTGGGCCCATGCTCGCTGGCTTTTCTGTCCACCGTGATTCTCGCACACAGTAGCTTACTGCACACCAGAACCAGGTGTTCCGAGTCCTCTCGGTAGCCCTAGGCTCCGAGCCTCTGGACACGTGCTGAGGAATTTAGATATTTTTGTGGAGTTTTAGCTTCATAAATTCTCTTTTGTTGTAGGAGAGGCTGGCCATTTGAGACATTCCCACAAAGTACTCATGAAAAATATGTGGTACCTTTTTATTATATTGATTCCATGTTAGATGTCTAGTCCTGGAGGAGGAACAAAGTGCGAGTCCAGGGATAATCATGTAGGGGACTTGTCAAGATCACAATCGTATTCAAATGGAAAATAGAAGTTAATAAGAACTGCTGAGCACACTTGGACAGTCTGAGACACCCACCCTACCATTCTACAAAGGCTCAGAATGCGGCCATCACCACAAGGCACAAATAAAAGCAAACAAAACTGATTCTGTTGTGGAACTTTAAGGTAATTAATCTGCATGTTTAGAAATTGTATTCCATATTAATTGAAGCCTAGTAGAAAGGTTCAAATTTTTTAATAGAAAAATCAGAGAAATAGAGAAAGAATCCTTTTTTTGCTTCTATTTTGTTTTCTTCATTCGTTCCTCTTTCTCCTCCATTTTTTGAAGATACATGTTTTTGTTACTATATATCTGTATATTTTAAGTCTACATAAACAGTATCATTAGGGTCAGGTACTGTGTTAGACTCCCTCATTTGATTCCCAGGATCTTCTCCCCTTGTTCTCAGTATCAATTTAGTCGTTGATCTTAAGCACTTAGAGCTCTCTGTAAAGGATGCATGCTATTGCATTACTGCCTCTGGATCACTAATTATGACACCGTATTTTGCTCAGGACTACTAGCACTAACTCAGTCATTGAAAATAAAACAGAAAACTTTAATATTTTAGGTGATTTCACGTGTCTGTATGCATTTCTGTGCTGCGCTGGAGAAACTTCAGCTTCAGCGAGTAAGCAGTCAAAACTGAAGCAGGGGCTTTGGGTGAACTGAAGCACCATGCTGAGATATGTGTGCTTGTCTGCACATCTGAGTCCAGGGAAATACTCATTTCACAGTGCTTTTCCAACTTCCTAATGCTGTGACCCTTAAATACAGCTCCTCATATCTGGTGACCCCCAACCATACAGTCATTTTCATAATTCTCATTTTGCTAATGTTATGAATATGAATATAAATATCTGTGTTTTCTGATGGTCTTAGGGGACCCTGTGAAAAGGTTGTTCGATCCCACCCCCAAAGGGGTAGCAATCTACAAGTTGAGAGCCACACTGCTTTAAAACCATTTCAAAGAATGTTGTAACTAAATGTATTGTCTAGGAAAATATTAAATGTGACTTTGTGTTAGAAGCCAACCTAGAACACAGGCCTTCTTTGCTGTATCATGTCTGTGATATGCCCTGTAGGCTGACCCGTTTGCTGTGGGGCATGACAAGTCACATGTTGCGCCTTAGAGTACATTTGTGCACTTGACTGTGCCATTTACATCGATGGGGAGGCAGGGGACGGGCTAAGAGGCGGTGGCCCAGGGAAGGGAAAACATCCACGCTGCAAACGTTAAGTCGCTGGAACCAGGAAACCTCAGCCCGATGGCAGCAGTGCCTGTCCAGGACGGTCGTTTGCCAGCAAAGCATGCCACTTCTTCATGTCCCCATGGCTCTGTGTGCCTTAGGAGGTCCTGGTAATTGAACCCCTGAATTTCCTTATCAACTTCCTCACTGTGTTCTTGGCAAGATGTCTGCTAGGCGCAGCCTCGCATACTGCTTAGGGGCGTGGCCTCTTGTATCCCTTCAGTTCAGATTCTTGCTCCTTTGTTTCTTAGCAGTGCAATCTTGAACATGTTGCCCATACGCTCTCTCCCGTGTTAACTTCCTGATATGTAAACTAGGTGGGAGACCACAGGGTAGCTATGCCATGGGCATTTAGTGTTAGAGTTAACATGGAACGGGGTTGTGGGTGGTACACAGTAAGGGTCTGGTCCGTGCTGTTGTGTAACTACTCTCTCCTTTGTCTCTCTGTAACCTGTCAAATGAAGACTGTCCAAATCACCAACTCCGCACCCCACTGGGCCTTCCCTCCAGCAGTTTTCTACCTATACTGCTCTCAGTGTCCCATGCCCTATTCGCTTGCTTGTCCGCAAACCGCCGCAGACTGTTTTTACATGTTATAAAAGCACATGTGCAATTTAGGTCTCAAAAGAAACACCAGGTTCTGGAGGGCAGAGCCCTTGTTGGAGACAAGGCATGGCTATGTAGCCCATTGCTGACCTGGAGCTCACTGTGTAGCTTAGACTGGCCAAGAACTCTTGATGTTCCTACCTCTGACTCTTAATCGCTGGGGTTACTGTGGTTCCCCACTGTTCCTGCATACGGTCTTTCTTACTTTTCTTTTGTCCCATGAGAAAGAATTCCTGTTCAATGTGAATAGTGTGTTTCCTAAACTGCTGGCTTCATTTTTGATTTGGGAGCTTATGTTCGTCTTCTCCAAAATGGTTGATGGGAGCTCAGAGACTGAGCGCCATTTTGCCTCTGTTCAGGCACTGTGCTGTTGAAGACATAGTTTGTGTACAAGTCTTTCCCCCTCTTCAGGCAGAGCAGTACTCAAGCCCCTGTGTGCACACCATGGCATGGGTTTGGGCATCCAAACCCCACTGCTTCATTTTCCAGTCCAACTAAAGTTTGTCTGGACCTGCCTCATGGGGCGGGTGTACAATGTACATGTATGACTGTGTCCACACAGGGCCCCAGTACTGTCCCAGGTGTCTGGACATTGTTCTTTATTAGTTCTGTCCCTTGACTTCCAATGTATCCATACAAGCTAAGCTGAAGTAGGGCTGGAGATGTCGCAGACTACTTCTGTGTAGTACAGGAAGGCCAGAGCCAGCACTTGGGAGGTTGAGGATGGAACCTTAAAAGTTCAAGGTCAGCTCAGCTACATAGTGAGTTCATATTAATAAAGTTAATTTTGAAATACAGTGTGTGTGTATAGTTTACATATGTGTATCAAAATGTGCAGGCTTTATCAGAAGTTGATGCATTATAGAAGTTAAGTCAAATTTTATTGACTTAATTAAGTAGTTGGCTCGTGCACTCATCAGTTTGTGAGTGAATAAAGGCCTAGAACTTGCCTTACGTATCTGGAGAATGACACCCTGTCCTGCTCCCAGCTTGTAAAACTGCCAAAGAGGCGGAAGGCATTCCAGTAACAAGATGTCACTTTGTAAGGAAACATTGGCTCTGAGCGTCCCATTGTTCCTGACAACGAATGGCTTCCTGGCATGGACAGCGTCTCACCTGGCTGCCCCGCTGGGGTGGGGATGCCCCTTTGGGTCACCTGTGCTTCCTGTTCTGACCTCCCGCTGTCTCCCCTTCTCCCCATCAGCCCTGCAGTGGTGCCTGGGAACCAGCCTCCTGTGGGAAGACAGAGGATCAGATGACGGCCTCTGGTCAGCCTCGAAAATATGTGAACGCGTTCTCGGCTCGGACTCTGGTCATGTGAGACATTTCCAGAAAAGCATTATGGTTTTCAGAACACTTAAAAGTTGACTTGTGACATATCATTCCTCAGCATGGAACTCTTCCTGACTGAGAGAAGAACCTATTTTTGTTGTGGTACAACAGTTGAGAGCACCACCAAGTGCGTTTTAGTTGCATGAAATCTTACTGGGTTTCACTCAACTAAAAAGATTTTTTTAAAAAAAATTAATGAATAACAGTCTTACCTAAATTATTAGGTAATGAATTGTAACCATTTGTTAATATCATAATCAGATTTTTTTAATAAAATGATTTATTTGTATTTTAGAGGATCCAACAGATCAGTATTTTTGACTGGGGTAAATTTTAAAACAAAAAAAATTTATACAAAGAAATACCCCAGTATTTCACATTTCTCAATCACTAAGAATACATACAAATATTTTTAATAAACAGTGAAAGCATTATTCTGAATGTTGACTAAATACCAAGTAGCCGTTCACAGAGCCTATGAGACTCATTTGTAGTTAGTAATATTGGAAAGACATTTATTGTGCTAAACCAGTTCATGAGGAGTTTTTGTTAGCTTGCTTTAAAAATTATTACTGTATGAAATAGTTTTATAAAAAAATTATATTTTTATTCAGTAATTTAATTTTGTAAATGCCAAATAAAAAAAAATGTGTTTCGCTGCTATGGTCTTAGCCTGTAGACATGCTGCTAGTCAGAGAGGCAGTAGAGCTTGAATGAAAGAAAGAAACTTGGTATTAGATAATTGATTATTCACTAGTATTTCAAACTTTTTTATTTTTATATATGTACCTTTTCCTTTTTTAACTGGAAAACTTATTTGGGAGATTTTTGCATTTGTTGTACATTTTCTTTTTTTTAAGGAAAGTTGTTTCTTTTTTGTTATTGTTGGTTTATAAAAACATGCATTGCACTTCTTTTTTTGGGAAATTTATGTTGTTCATGTCATATGTTTTGTTTTGAGTTCAGTCTGACTGTTCATCGATTCAGGCACTCTGAGCCTGCTCAGCTTTCCCCATAGTTATTAAGTGTATGAACCAGAACTGCCTCGTGGTTCTTGTGTTTGGGGGGAAGTCAACAGTCGGTTTCTGCCTCGAGAACACTGGGTACAAGATGGCCGGCCCTGAGCTTCTGAAACGACAGTGTACTTACTGCCTTGTAGCATAATAAAGCTGTGCCCATGTTTTACACACTTCCTGGCCTCTCTTACTTTTGTGATTCGGGGTAGTAGTTACACATCTAAGAAAATGGGACAAACTCAGAACACCATTTTCTTTCCAAAATGTGCTTGCCACCTAAAATGTATATGGTGTCTTTGCCACAAGACAAGTTAAGTAGTTCATAGAATAATCACAGTGACAATTGTGTAGACTCTTTCATCATGTGTCAAGCAAGGGCTCAGAAAACTCTTAAATTGGGGGGGGGGCGGGGAACACACTTAGAGAACTACTGATATCTGGACTGGGGAGATGGCTCAGCGTGTAAAGTACTTTCTCCATTGCGTAAGGAAGGACTCGAGTTCCAATCCGCGGAACCCACACACAGTCAGACAAGGCATCCAGGTGGGCAGTCCCAGGTTTCCTATGGCAAGATGAGAGATGGAGACAGTGGAGGGAGTCCCAGGAAGTTTGCAAACAACAAATGGCAAACAGCAAAGAAACCCTGTCGGCGCCTAAGTTGAGAACTGAGAGCCAAGGTTGCCCTCCACCCTCCACGAATGTGCTGTGTGGCATGCACGTTCCCATGCCCCCATCACACACAGAAATATAGGTGTTCATGGATACACAGAGTTTGTTTTTAAAGTGATATTTAAATAGATATCATAAGGGGATACTGAAGGGTCATGCTGTATGGAAAGGGAGAGTCAGGAAAGACGCTTAGAGAGTCTTGGGAGACACTGAGAGATGCAATAGCCTTGGTAAGGTGAAGATGAAGTAGCCTTGGTAAGAGCTACTCTGATGTGAATGGCTCTGCTCTCCCATCCTAAGGGGCTGACATCTATGAGACTGTGAACCAAAATAAAGCCACCTGTCTTCAAGCTGCTTCTAGATTTTATCCCAGTGATGAAAAGTAACCAACACAGACTTTCCATTTAGCCCAACTCCTCCATTTTATAGATGAATCCCCACGCCATGTTCAATATCTTTGAACAAACTCTACTTTTCACCCAAGGTACTTGGATCCAAACTCCAATTTTATGAAGTTTCATATGCATAACACAGTTGGTGCTCATAAGGCAAGGATGAGTTAGACCTAATGACTAGTCTTTGGGACCATTTTACAATCTTTTTTTTTTTTTTTTTTTGGTTTTTTGAGTCAGTCTTTCTCTGTGTATCAGCCCTAGGTGTCCTGGAACTAGCTCTATAAACCAGGCTAGCCTTGAACTCACAGAGATCCACCTGCCTCTGCCTTTGCCTCTTGAGTGCTGGGATTAAAGGCGTGCGCCACCACTGCCTGGCTTCCTTTTACAGCCTTTGGTTGTCCTGATGAGTAACATTTTCTGAACAACCGGATGCTTTGTTGATCTGGCACCTGGCTGCTGAGGTCAGAAAATGGAGCCTTGATGACCACTTGGTCATCTCAGTGTGCCAAACTAAGTAGCAGAGATGGCGAATGTGGGGCTAAACGGTGGGTTTCATCTGTGAGAGGGATAAGGGTGTGGCTCAGTAGTAGGGCAAGAGCTGAGCAGGCGAAGCCCTGGATTTGACCCAGTATAGACTGTGATCTCTGTGGATACCATAGTTGCATGGAAGCCAACTGTGAGTGGCTAGTCTACTACCCAGACTTTTCTAGTGGCTTCAGGAAGGCTGTGGTCAGAGATTTCCAGTTCATTGCTTTAAAGTTTATTGTTCTATAGTTCTGGGTGCTAGAAAGCTCAGAACCACTGTCCTGTAGGTAGATGTGGTCTGACTGAAGCATACTTCCTGCTTTACAGAAGATACTGTTTCATTGTGTAGTCTATCTTTACACGACAGAAGGACCTGATTTATTTGGTTGGTTGGTTGGTTGGTTGGTTGGTTGGTTGGTTGGTTGGTTGGTTTGCTTATTTGAAGCAGGGTCACCTGTGACCCAGGCTGGCCTTGAGTTTGTTATGTGGCCTCAGATGACCTTGAGTTCCTTGAACCTCTTCCACCCTTTCCCAAGTGTTGGGATTACAGGCATGGGCCAGTACACCCAGCTCTGGCTAGTTCATTTTTGTTGTTTGCTTTGTTTCTTGTTTTAGTGATCCTTCTCTCTGTGACAGGAATTCAGGGGACAAAATACATGGAGCAAAAAGTGCTCTTAAGTTACTGTGTAGTGACATCTGAAGAACAGGAAGGATACTGAGAAGATGAATCTGTCCTTTGTCCCCTGTTCTCAGATGAGACTCGTGGATGCAGGAGATGTCAAGGAATAAGATTCTGAAGGAACTTCAGCATCATTGGGGTCTTCTATTAGAGCCCCTGCAATGCCTACTCTGTTCTGGAGTCTGATGACATTTGGTTGTAATTCAGACTTGGCCTTTTACCATCTTTGCGACTTTACACCAGTTTCACCTCGCCTCTCTAGCTTCGTTTTACTCACATTGGATATTAAAGTGGATCTCAAGGCTTCTGAGCAGTGTGAAGGTGATGTGAAACAGGTGATCCATTCATGGATCTCTGTAAGACTCTGTGGTACCTGTTTTTTGGATGCATCATGATGACATATGAGCAGCCAGGAGCTGTCAACTGCCCGGTGGTGGGGAAGGAAACATTTCTGAGGTCCATGGTTGTGAATTAAATATATTCAAATATAAATATCTCTCCCTAATATTCTCTGCCATTCTACCATACACTAATCCTTTTTACATAATATATATGCAAGTGAGAGAGTGATTTTCCTTCAACTTCTTGATTTCTTATACAGCATATCTTACATGTGCTCTTTCTCCTCCGTTGTTAGTAATGATAGAAGCAGTGATACTGTGCTGGCTAAGTGCTTACTGCATGCTGTCAATGAGGGCAGGAGGGAAGTTTTCCAGCAGTGAAAAGCATACAGTGAAAGCCAAGGGGTCAGAGCGTTAAGAAACTGAAAGGGAAATCTGGCCAAAAAAGGGGAAAGATAGGAGGCCGTGAATTGAGGTGTGAACTTCGTCCTTTGTGATATGGGGAGTTATTAAAGGCTTTTAGGTAGATAAATACAATGATTAATTTTTATCTGGCTTATAGAAACTATCCTGTTCAAACTCTTTATTCACATAGAGTATAAAATTAATCCTCAGGCTAGTAAAAGATGATCAGAGTCCGGATTCCATGACAGTTAATTTCTTTTTCAAAGCATATTTCCTGCTGCTGGATTTCCAAGGGATGTGTGCTTTAATCCTAGAAAATCAACCTGATCTGCATTTTATTAAAAGCTTTACATTTTATAATCCATAAAGTCATAATTGACTCAGGAAGAAGTGATTGCATAGGGCATTTTTCTCCTTTAGAAGCAAGATATTTTCAATCAGAATTTTCTCTAAAACCTTCCCCACCAAACTTTTCACCAAATCTTTATATGGTACAAACCCCCTTTTTTATATATTTGATGCATTTTTTATTCATCAGTTAAGGAATTCTGCCAACATTTGTTCCTAAAGAAGTTTCAGCTTCATTTTATACCGTATTCTGCCCTCAACTATAGAACACATTCCGATAATCACTGGTTCTCGAGTTTTATTGGACATCAGAGACTTAACGCTCTGTTAGATTGGAAATTCTCCATCTCACCCTCAAGAATTTAAGTAAGGGATGATATGTGGGCTCTAAGTCACCAGTGTTTAACAGCCATTAAGTAATTCCAACACGGGTGGTTTCAGGGAATTGAACTACAAAAAACCCTGTCTTACCAACAAATTTTCAACCTGCGCTTTCTATCTGAACATTCTTCAAGATTTCCAGTTTCTAATGGAAATGCCCACTAATCTACCAAACATTAGAAAAACAGCCCATAGCTATAGGATTTTCTTAACTCTAGAGACTCAGTATGTTACCAGTGTTGGTAATTAGACCTTGGCTTTCGGGTCTGTCTTGGTCTGGTTTTGCGTTTAGAGGAAGCATAATTCCATTCACAGTGCATTTGGACCTCTTTTATCACGTGGTTCTATTGCCTACAGTCTTTCAAAAGGCAATCTATTATATTGATGAATTTAACATGGAAACAAAGCAAAGCTGTCTTTCAAAAGTCCTTGTTTCTAAACCAGGCTATAATGACCTTGTTGATCTCCCTTGTGTGTCTAAATCTCTGTGCTTTGGCTTTCTGTTTAAATGAAGGAAATATTTATTGCCTATAAACAGTTACATTGTATACAGAAGTCCTCAGATCAATGATAAGCAAAACTCAAAGAAAGCTTCAGTAGCCTAAAGACATTGGAACACACACAAGTAGATTTTAGGTCAAGAACAACCTCTGAGATGAACCTACAAGCTAAGAAGCCATCCTCAAACTGCATTTAGGGAAGACATAAAAACAGAGTTTGCTCTCATTTGGCTGATCTCTTTAAAAAGGTAGTCTGCTCACCTACTTTTAAATAGTACTAAATATCTAACTATGGCCAGACCTAACTCATCCAGCTCTTCACATAAGAACCTAGCACTCATTTATTCAGAGATTTCTTATTGGGCATTTCCCAATACATTACAATACATTTCCAATACAAGGCACAGTTCTATTGAGTATATATTGATGTGGGAGTTCCCTCTGTGTGTTGCTTGTATCGGTTAATGAATAAAGAAACTGCCTTAGCCTGATAAAGCAGAACTTAAATAGGCAGAGAAGATAAAACTGAATTCTGGGAGGAAGAAAGCAGAGTCAGAAAGATGCCATGGATCTGCTGGAGACAGACGCTGGGAATTTTGCCTGGTAAACCACTACCACATGGCGATACACAGATTAATAAAATGGGTTAAATTAAGATGTAAGAATTAGCCAATAAGATACTAGAGCTAATGGGTCAAGCAGTGATTTAATTAATACAGTTTCTGTGTGGTTATTTCAGGGCTAAGTTAGCCAGGTGGCCAGGATGAGCAAGCGAGCCTCCTCCAACAATATATCTTACATATATCCTAAGCGCACACACGTGTATGTGTATATATAACATTCATGATTACAGACAGGAATATTTCTTGGCTATCTCCAAACATACTAAGAAAAAAAATAGGCTTATACTTTGGTAGCTGTATTTCTTTA